CCTTAACTCTATACCAAGTGGCGACTCCGATTTTTATCTCAAAAATGCTTTTTAAAACCATAATTTGGGCTCAAATCGTCGCATTACAAAGTCCCATTTAGGCCCATTTTCTTTTTTTAAAACAAAAATTCATTTTTTCAAATCAAAATTCGCTTTTTAAACCATTTTTCTATTTTTATAAAAAATGGGGCATGACAGTATCCACAGGGACTGGAGAGAAATCTATTCCTTTCTAGAGTAAAATTACGAGGGGGATTTTTTTATGAATTTAAAAATACCTAATTAATCACTAAATCCTGAGTACTAAATAGGAAATCAACAAATTACAGAAATAACTAAAAAACAAATTAACAACACAATAAATGAGAATTAAATTAACAGGAGACGCGACTCTAGCCAAAAGTACAACTCTCAGCCACGGTTCAGACAATAGATCACTGATGCAAAAATAATTCAAATATTTACTGATAGATTGGTTATAGTCATCAACAAGTTCTGATAACCAACTCTTCCTTATTTTTTCGACAGTCAAAGTATGACCGTTGACTATTTTCCTAATCAAGGAACAACCTTAGGTACGACTGTAAGATTTAATTCCTCAATCGCATTAAGAATTAAAGAAACCCAACCTTAATTAACAAACATGCTACGAGGGTTTGTTTAAGTTAGATCATTCGTTTCTCTAACATGGAACTGATCACGCTAGTTGCCACTAATGCTAATCGATCAAACAATTATGGATTTAATCATTTAAACTGGTAGTAAATTATTAAGTTAATTCAAATATCGGGCCTTTGACATTCAAACAATAAAATAATCATGAGAAATTAAAGCAGAAAACATACAAATATCAATGAATTAAAGAAATAAATATCAAGAGGTAAGGCAAGCTCGGAACCCCTCTTGGATATTCCCCCGCATTTGGTTCCCTCAGCTCCCACTTAAAATCTCTTTCTTTATGTTACGTCTATTGATGCGGAGGCTACCGCTGGATGATATATTCGGTAAATTTGGCTTTCAATTACCTTCAAAATGTTTCTGTTGCTTCATGGCGGCTAGGGAAGCTATTGACCACATTTTCTCAACGGGACAACTAGCGGTAGAGCTTTGGGACATCTTCGGCTCCTCGTGCAGAATATGTCTACCTATAGTATCACTGCGAGAGGGATTGGTTGCTTGGTGGCTGTCTGCACGTTCGGATACTCAGAGACGTTTTGTGGTCTCTATTCTACCAAGTTTCATCTGGAAGGCACATCTGGAAGGCACGGAACAAAGCAATTTTTTAAGGGGTCAAAATGACTAGTGGGGAGATTTGTTATGGCATTCTCCAGGACATTACCAAGGCGGATAAGGTTAAATTTCAGCATGTGATTGTAGCGCGGAATTTTGATCAGTTCTTTGAAAGGCTTTCTCAGCAGTCTTCATTACGCCGGGTCCGTTTGGTTAGGTGGCAAGCAGCTGGGAGGGGGTTCCTATCCCTAAATACGGATGGGTGCTCGAAGGGGAATCTAGGAATAAGTGGATGAGGTGGAATACTACAGGAGTCAAATGGTCAGGTGTTAGTGGCATTCTCGGTTTCCCTGAGGGTCAATACCAGCTTGCACGCTGAAGCATTAGCGCTATTAATGGGGTTTCGCTTATGCTTTCAATGAGGCTTTGTGCAGGTTCGAGTGCAGACAGATTCGCTGGTACTAGTGGGTATATTACAGCGGCGGTTCCAGTGCCCATGGCACATTCAAAGGGAAGTGCATCAACTATGGCAGTTAGTTGCGTATCCTACACAGTTCTCCCATTGTTTTAGGGAAGCCAACAAAGTGGCTGACATATTAGCTAATATAGGTATCCTGCATTCGCAGGATCCTGTAAGGGTGTATCACCACCTCTGTTCTCTTCCACGGCTAGCGAGAGGGGAAGTTAGGATGGATATGCTAGGCTTTCCCTCTATTAGAACTATCAAAGGATCGTCTTGATGACCGGTCCAGTACTCGGCTTGTAAGTTTTTGATTGAGCAATAAAAGTAGTGTTTTTTGCGAAAAAAAGAAATAAATAAAATTAATTCAATCTCACAGATATTTGGAACCTTGACTTCAAGTCGACCCTTGACTAGAAAATGGAGATTTAGCTACACATCATAAAATAAATTTCGCAAGACTCCATTGAATCTGATTGCATATGGTTTTTCTTTAAAATTAAAGAAAAGCAAGACGAATTGAGAAAACAAGTGACAGCTCTCTTATGTTCCAAAGAATCACCCCTCTCCCTCTCGAAATTGTTGCTGGCTGAACTCTTAATCACACTGGTTCGTTTGTCATTTTCTCCCCTTGTTTCCTACTTAACATCAACTACTAATAATAAGACATGTTCTCCAAAATAGAAAAAGGAAACTACTAAAGATAATATTCCAAATTTTCTCATCCAATACTAAAACTAATAATGAAAATTAAAGTCTTCAAAATCTTCCTCCAAAAGTTGCCCTGAGTTTGATTTGGACTTGAAAACCGACCCCAAATGTACCACCATCAAATTAACTAAAAAATTACCCCTTCTAATCACGTTTTGCTCCTTTCCTGCAATTAGCACCATTAACTAAATATAAGTAGAATCTATCAATTAAAATAATATTTGGCTAAAATTAAAGGGAAAATAATAATAAATTAAATAGCAATTTTTCACCCTATCAATTCCCCCCACACGTAGACCATACTTGTTCTCAAACATGAGAACAACAATTCAACAAATAAAGTCTAACAACTCAAATCATCTATTGCCAAGATGCATTTAACCCTTGTGAAGTCTTAGTGGCTACGTTTTAAGGTTTATTCTCCGGTTAGTTTCTAAAATCTAAGACTCTTCCAGTTCACAGTTAACTAATCTAAGAAGTTAGAATATTAAACCGGCATTTATCAGTAAATGGGTCAACTATTAACCAAAATCTCAACATTAAAACCATGGATTAGCAGGTACAATTCCATTTTTTTCTTTCACAACTTTTTTTTTATTTTTTTAGGGAATAGGGCTTAGTCCATAGCCATTTATGTTTTTTGACACGAACTCCGACATCTGCTAAATGCACAAGTGATTAGAATTCGTCCATAAGGATTAATACTTTTGAAGTCCAGCAAAAAAAAATAAAAATTAATTTTGACACCCATTCCAAATATGTCTATACCAAGCACTAGTGATTAGAATGATGCCACTAATTCAAATCCATAATTATTTTCTATTTATTATTTCATAGATATTTCATTCCAGCTCCAATTCCAAAGCATGAACCAAGCACCCCCTAAAATTCTAACAAATGAGAGAGAGACAGGGAGAGAGAGAGGGAGAGGGAGAGGGAAATTTAATGGCTCGCTTTGGAATAGTACAAATAATAAAAGCATTGACAGTAAATAGCAAATGAAGACAGCCAAACACTGAGGCATATGTGAGCTTAATAGGACGTACGGAGGTCAGCCTTAGTTCTTTCAAATAGGAAAGAAATTTGGCCTTTCGACACTACCAGTATGAGTAAAATCTATAGCCTAAACAGTCAATTCAAGTCCCAACATATGCTCGAGTGGAGTATGTTTTGTAACTACGTAATATGCATAAACAAAACAAAGTTACATACCACAGGAGAATAACCAGCAACCAATGCATACTCCCAAATATTGCGTCCGAGGAAAGGAGTAAAAAAAGCAAAAAATGCAACCACTAATAAGCAATATACTATAATAGCAACCACCTGTCCAAGAAGTTAAACAATCCACAGATTTAATGTAAGTGGTTAGCAAATATAGAAAGTAAAGCAGCACACTGGAATTCAAATATGCATGTAATCCACGATGATGGAAAACATAATCCTAACAGATATATTTGCAGCACGTATCTTGTTTGAGACACCTCTCAATGTGTTATTGGAAGTAACTCTCAGTATTTTATTTGAAGTGATTCATAACATTAACACTATACTGAAAGACAGCACAATTAGGAAGTAAGCATCCACTGCCAGAACTGTCAAGCCAGCAATACATTGATCAAATTAGAAGGAAGCATATTATTTTAAGATATCTTCTCTCCAGTTATAAATGAAGTAAAGAAACTTTCTGCTAGTTTAGAATACTCAATTTCTAGTATTAGTTTTCTCCCTTCAGATTTTTTTTTTTGCTTATTCTCATTTCTCTCCATGTCCTATTCACAGTAGAAGGACAACTATTTGTCAGCTTAGCCAATATTCAGTCTCTTTTCTTTTCAAAAATAGAGTGATTCACTAAAAGTTTGTATTTAGGCTCATGCTATATTGTTTTTAACATAAAATTGAAGTAGAACCATACTCTTGTCAGATCCAAAAGTAGTTAACCAACAACTTGGTTTGAACAGATCACACTTCAATACTTAGGTATCATATGACCAAGTAGACAAACAAACCAAAAATAGCAACTTTAGAAAGAATAAAAGAAGATTCATACCAGTCAACTAGGCTGCTTTTGGCATAGGTTAGAAAAAATTCATGACATTCTTGTATCCTATATCCCATCAGGTGTTATAAGAAAAAAAAAGTCAAACTATAGCATAGATTGCATTTAGCTTGAGTGTAGAAAGTAGATGAATCCAGGGAACAAGAATTACATTGGAATACCTTACACCAACATATGATGGTAAGGGGAATCAAGTAATTTAACTTTGTAATTAAACATGATAAACACTAGGCAAACCCAAACAAACTGTCCAACCATATATGCCACAATTCTATCGCTCAATTGGTGGTATTTAAACACATGATTTTGGCTCCAAAATTGCAATTACAAGATATTAAATGGATATGATAATGGAACAGATTTAGTGTCAAGACCAGTCAACAACACTTCAATTCACTAAGGTCAGGAAAAAATATATGAATGCCATGTTCCAGTATCCGAACCTAAAATTAGCTACCTTTTTTTTTTTTTAAATCAAGAACCAACTTTATTCAAATCCAAGATGAATGTAAAGCGTACACCGCCGAGAAAGATTGCTACCTATAGCAAAACCCTTAAGACGCTACCGATTGACATAGTGCTGTCATACCGACGGGACCTCCCTAGCGTCCAGTAGAAGAGTTGCCCTACCTCACTTGACAGCTGCTGCGGAGACGTGCAGAACCAATCCATTCCCCGCCTCCAATTTGCCAGCCTATCTGAGGAAGAGTTGGCCTCCCGAAAGATGTGGGATACAGAAGATGACAACGAGGCTAAAAGGTGCCGTATCTGGTGCAACGTGTTGCATAAAGGCCACTTCGACACCCTCGCTGAGTGGATCAACTGGACCAATGCCTGGGAGTCCACTTCTACTAGGAGCGACTGGATTTGCCGGTCCCTGCATAACTGAAGACCATGAAGTACTGCCAAGTTCTCTGCGACTAGGACCTCCTTGTCACCAAATTCCTTGTAAAAGGCGAACATTAGCCGACCACTGGAATTTCTGAGGACGCCACCCCCGGTTGCCCTCCCGTGGACCACACTGGCATTCGTATTCAATTTGAAGGTATGTGGTGGGGGACGTTTCCATGAGACTGCCACACAAAACCGTTGTCGGGTGAATCGGGGTGTTAGAGCGGCTCAAGAGTCGTTCGTGTCACCCCTAAAGTGTGTGGCCGAGAGCACCTCTCCTTTATCCAACTAACCCATCACTTGTTCTACCATTACTATCACTGTAGTAGCCTCAAATCTAGAGCTGTCAAACCGAGCATTATTTCTAGCTTTCCACAGGCGCCAGAGCACAAGTAACGGAACCACTACCCTAATGTGTTGTATCGTCCCTCCCGAGCTAGAGTAAAACCATGCAAGCAGTAAGGACGAGACAAAAGAGAATGTTGATTGAAGGATACTGAATCGCCCCTTAAAATGGGTTCAGACTTGAAGAGTGATTGAAACCGTGATAAACAGATGCCGTCACGACTCGTTGTGCTGCCCACAGTAAAGGCAGCGTGACAGGATTGGAAATCCGATATTCTTGAGTGTTACCTCCAGAGGGATCAGATTATGTACTAGACGCCAGACAAAGAACGAAACTTTCAACGGGACCAAGCCATTCCAAACCATGCGATCCACCTGAGACGGTTCCCAGTGCTGGCGTATTGTGGCCCACGCTGATTTAAGTGAAAACTCTCTCGTCGTTGAGCCAAGCCAAACCATGCAATTCTCCTGGTCTGGATAAATGTGGATATCTTGGACCAGATGAATCACCCAAGCAGGGACCCACTCTCTCAACCTATCAATCTTCCAATTGCCTTCGCCAAAAATTCCGCCACTAACATATGCGGGGGGGTGACCTGTGCCAGAACGTCTGCCAGCGGTGAGTCTAGGATTCACTGGTCATACCAAAAGTCGATAAATCCTTGCCCAATACACCAGAGGATTTGCTCTTCAGCTCATCCCCTAGCCTTCTCCAGTCGTCGCCATGACCAAGAAGGCCGCTGCACCTGCACTATGGAGGGGTGACTCTCTCGTACGTATTTAACATGCATAAATTCTACCCAGATAGACTCCCGCTGCGTCAACCTCCACCACAACTTACAAGGGAAGGCTAAGCTCATATTTTCGAAGGACCTTAGCCCCAACCCCCTCGTCCACGGGGTAATAGAGTTTCTCCCACGCCATCCAGTAAATACCCCTAGTTTCAGTCGATTTGTCCCACAAGAAGGCGTTACAAATTTTCTCCAACTTAGCGAAAACAGCCTTCGGAGGTTGCAACACTTGCAGAACATACATAGGGATCGAGGTAAGGACGTGTCGAAGGAGCACCAACTTTTCCCCGGGCGATAGGAGCCGTGTACTCCAATGCAGCAATCTTGCTCTCAATTTTGCGACCACTGCATCAAACACCACACAAGTGGGCCGGTCACGCATAAGGGGCGCCCCTAAGTAGGTGAAGGGAAACCCCTGGCGTTGAAACCCCAACTTCGAGGACACCATTGCGCACTGATCCTCCGTTGCCCATTTCGAGATAAGGAATGAACTCTTCCCTACATTAATCTTCTGACCGGAGCAAGACTGGTAGTACCCAAAGATATTAGCCAGTGCATCAAGACCTTTACTCGAAAATCTGGCGAAGATCAACATGTTGTCTGCAAAGGCCAAGTAGGGAACCCGAGTAGGGAACCCGGGACCCCGCCGGCACGAAATACTTGTCCACCTCCCGGTCAAAGGAGCGTTGCAGCTCATGTCCTTGAAATTAGCTACCGTTGAAAACTCTTAAAATCACAGGACAAATGATTTTTTTTTGTTTACTTAAAGAAATAGTACCAAGATAAATAGAGGTGACGCAAGGGTAATTGACAATATCCAGACCAAAGTATAAAGAGGAAGGGGAACAGGGTGCTTCAACTACACATTTCAACATATATAACACTGGCAAAACCTAAACAGACAATATCAGAACCATGTATAGCAAACAATTTCTGAACAACCAAAAGCTAAACTTATATCTCCATCAATACAACAATAGTTGTTTCAGCAGGAATAGCCAACAACTCAAGGTAAACAGTCTATAGAAAAATGATCAGTTTTGGCTTAGCTCTAGCATATAAGTAAATAGCAAAAATTCTTGCATTGAAAACATTAAGACTTTTTCTTGTATTATTAAATGTATAGGACCCAGAGGAAGTTAAATTGAATGAAACTTGGGCTTATGCCATCCTCATCAAGGTAAAGACATGACTAGTGAAACCAATCCCAGGAGTAAAAGATGATTTATTCTTCCTGAATATCAAGTTCTCCAACTACAGTGACAAGATATCTGCTCAATACTGTATCACAAAATAAATCTCCTTAAATGAATTAATTTTTTATGGTTTCAATAGAGGGGAAAAAATATCTGCTTTAATAGGAGGGGAAAAAATATTTGAAAGGACTGCAAATGTTCCTTCCATGAAAAAAAGTACCATTTCATCTCTGAGACAGTTGCAGAAAATCAAGCTAGAAAGGGGTGAGAAATGAGCTAAAAGATTCACAACTATTCACCAGCTCAAACTCAATTAGGAACTTTTTCCAAAAAATCACAAATCAACTACTCTATCTGTCATTCCATTATGCTTCTTTTAAGGCCTACTTATTCTTATGGAACAAACCATTCCTATCATTTGTTAGTGTAACTTTGTCATATTAGAATCATTTGTTAGTGTAACTTTGTCATATTAGAATCAACTCTGACTTGTAATCTCTCTATTAAGCTAAATGGTATTGGCAGTAGTGTGCTTAATGTTTTTCTTAATTTTTTATTTTGTATCCACAAATAATGTTTTTCTTAATTTTTTATTTTTATATCCACAAAAAGCTGCTTTGGTCAATGTAAGAGATAGAATTATTTGCTATATAATGAGTTTCTCTCTGTTCAATCTTACATTGTGTTGCCAAAATTTTTCTCCTGTACAATTAGTAATTGACTTGCAAATTTTCCAATGAAATAAAAGCTTTAACCTCTAGTCTCCTTGCAAAACTATATTGGTCCTATGAATCTCAAGATCACCAATTTGTAAAGCCTTCAAGTGAGGAACATACGAGCAACTTATTAGGAACATTGTTTGTAGGTTTGAGGAATAGAAGAAGAAAGCAAAGAGTCTAGCAGTAACAGCAGCAGTATGATTGCAAAAGATGATCCATCCTGAACAAGGAAACAGAAAAAGGGGAAAAAAAGTTGAATTATACCTGAAAGGTGTGTGCCAGTAACTGCCATCCAGGTTCCCTTACCATGATCACTACTATTCACCCAAACCCAAATCAAAACTTATCAGGCAAGGTAATATATGTCACACAGAAGATTAAAATCCAACAAATAAGCAACAATTCAAGAAGTAAAGGAAGCTGGCATTATTGCTTAAAATCTGAAGATACTCTTTTTAATTTCCTATATAGTATAATAATCAAAACTAAATTGAGTAAGACAAGATTAATCCACCTTAGCTTACATTGCTGAAGGGAAAAGAACACAAAACACCTAACTATCATAGTAACCTGAGATTAACTTCATTAATTTGTACCTTGCCCAAGCTTGAACTTGAATGCAGGTCCCCTATGACACCTTGTATTCCATCAAACAGACTATACCCAAAACTAAGAAGCTGAAAACACTAGTAAACATGTAGGTTCCATATGTTAGATGCAGATATTAATAAATCAAGCAGTAAATAAGAGCAGAAGAAAAGTTATTCTAAAAAGTAAACAAACTATGTTTGAGTAGCGTTTACATAGAGCTAGGAAACTGTGAAACCAAACTGCAAGCAATCTGGGAAGGTCACTAAACACAAACATCTGACTAGGCTAGGCAACTGGAATTCAAAATTTGAACTATTATTACCTAAGAACAATAAAACAAAGTAAGTTCGTTTATCTATAAAAATTACACGGAACACTTAATTTATGAGAAGATAAGATAGTCTATTAGAAAATTTGTTCCTTGATCTTTACAATTCATAAAGATAGCTCAACCTACTTGTAAAGAAAGCACAGTAAGTTTGTTTATCCAATGTGTTTATACACTTGTGCTCAACTCGTAGATACATACAATCATCTAGGAATGTATTAATGACTTTTGTTAAATTTAGCTACATGACTATTGCCTAATTCAAACTTAAGGGATCCAAAAAAAAAAAAAAATCAGAAAAGACAATTAAATTCAATGATGCCAAATAATCAGATTTTGTTAACATGATTAATTCAATCTTACCAAAATTCCTAAGGTTTCATTCCTCAAGAAAATCTTACCAAAATTCATAACTGAAAATAACATTTTCTGACTAATTGATTGATTTGATTGATTAATTGATTGAATAAGATATCAATTAACAAATATAGCAATCAATCATTAACAAATGAGAGATACTAATTAATTATTGACAAAATGTCAATTAATTAATCAGAATATCAATCACCAATTATTATCTATTGGGAGATGCTAATTAATTATTGACAAAATATCAATTAATTAATTATGATATCAATCACTGTAGAATCAATCATGTGGGTCATAATTGCCTCAAAAAGAGACAAGTCTTACATAGTAATCTAAAACAATAAATTGACCATCTTACATAGAAATATCTCTTAATTTACTATCTAATTTACCATTTTATGTCAATTAATCTCACCAAAATAATTACCTCCCTGTAGAGTCGGATAACTATCTTAATAAATTATTTGCAACTTGATATAGATGCCTTTTTTTTTAAATTTCTTTAATCACTCAACACTATGTGAAAAGAAAATACAGAATTTCTCTCAACACTAATATACTTAAGATGCTGTGACTACTTCAAGTATTGGCGTTATACGAAAAATTGTCAACTAATCAATATGTTGGCTAAAAATTCATAATTTCAATCACCAACTGTATGTGATGAAAAGCTTTTCTCATCAAATATTTGGGATGCTGTGACTACTCTTAAATATATAACGTAAAAATGAAATTCTTAGCATGGCATCTTATTATTTGTCAATAGTCAAAAACTTTATGTTGACTGAATTTCATTGAATTTTTCTTTTCTTTATAATCACTTAATTTTATGTGATTAAAGTTTTTTACACCGTATATTTGAGATGTTGTGGCTACTTCCAGATATACGATGCAAAAAAATTCTAATGGAAATTCATAAAAAATAAGTAATCAACTTGTTGACTAGAAATCCTTGATTTTAATCACTAAACTATATGTGATCAAAATTGTAGTACATCAATGTTTGAGATGTTATGGCCACTCTCAAACATAAAGTGTGATATCAAAATAGTCGAAAAAGCTGTATTTTGATTAAAAAAAAATCATAATTTCCTCTTGTTTATATTCATTTTTAACCACCAGTCTTTATGTGATTAAAATACTTCATGCATCAAATAATTGAAATGCAAGACACACTTTATAAAGGAAATTCTTTGAAATTTAAATGTAATCAACCATACTTATGTTGACATTATAATATGAGATAAATGAACATAAGTGTAGTACATAAAATACTACATAATTTCGAATAACAACAGGAACGTAGAGGCAAATTCATAATGAAATAATGCTTTTAAATATTTATCCGATAATAAGGTAGCACAGATTCAATAAGCCTACAGATCCATTCATATAAAGTCAACCAATTATCTTGTATAGATTAATGTGATATTAATCTTTTGATTGTTGAATATAACAACTTTTTGCATGTCTCTCGAATTGTTATAATGTATTGATAATAACAATCAATACATATAACATGTAAGTCCAAGAAACATTCAAATTACTTGCAGTCATACCATATTATTAGAGAAAATGTGGATGAATTGCATAACCAAATAAGATATTAATTAGCAAAGATATCAATCAATCATTAACAAATAAGAGATACTAATTATTTATTGATAAAATGTCAATCAATTAATTAGAATATCAATCACCAATCATTATCTATTAGGAGATGCTAATTAATTATTGACAAAATGTCAATCAATTAATTATAATATCAATCACTTTAGAATCAATCATGTGGATCATAATTGCCTAAAAAACAAGCAAGTCTTATATTCTCCCACTTAACCCACATGAAATAGTCAAATAACTTATGAATGACTAACTACTTAAAAATGGCCATAAACCTTGTTTGTCACTCACCAAATTCAACAGTTATGTAACAGTTGCTTAATTATAAAATAATAATACATAAATCATTGCGGTTATACTCTCGTAGCAAGCACTTCCTTCCATGTATTATAATGTATTATACTTCCAAATCAAGTGCTTTAAAAGAACTTTATGAATAACTTCAAATAAGTTATTCAAGGTCCAACTTTATGGATCACATGATCCTTACTTTATACATGAACAACAATGTGCACAAAATCATGTAAATATAAATGTCTCAAGTATCTAGACAATAACAATAGTTTGAAAATAATAGCAAAATACTAAATGAACTACTGAGTTCCATGTGAATTATTTGATCGTTAACAATTCAGCCGACAACCTTTAGTTATTTGATAAACAATAATAACTCCTTACGGTATACTCAATAGCTACCTTTTACTTTCTAAATAACTATTGAATATCTTATGTTGACATGCCTATTTTGACTCATACTCTTTCATGTATACATAATGAAAGGATATAGTCAAATCAAATATCTATAATGGCCACAATACAATATCGACAAATTTTTTGCCAAACAGTAGATGCCTGTGGTATAATTTCATAG